ATCCGGGTGATCCGCGAGATCACCTTCTGCTACATTGGAATTATCCCTCGTTGTAACTACTGTTAGCGGGAATCCATCATCTAACAAGTGCAAGCACATAGCTTGATTTCATCCAAATGATCCTCGGATCATCTTCTGCTATAACGGAATTATCCCTCGTTGTAACTATTATTAGCGGAAATCCATCGTCTAATAGTGCAGGCACACAGCCTCAGAGTACTTGGACTACTAATACCCATTTATTCCAGTTAGGTTATCAAACCTAAATGTATAAACCATTTCTCAATCAATTGACTTGTCTTAAACCACCCACTATGCACATGATGCACGTGATGACATATTTAATCACATTCAACCAAATTCGGGCACCAACCCTTCATTCTCATGCCATACTCACGGTCCAATCCACATTCGGTATTTACCCGTTGCTCGCATACCAATCATGATACTCATAGCGGGAACACAACCTCCGCTCATTAATATTGTTCATTAGTTTCATTAATATTTAAAAGAAGGTCCAAGTCCATTTACTTTAATCCAAGCCCATTAACTTTATCCTAAGTCCATTTACCTTATTTAATTCCATTTTATTTAGTCCAAGCCCATTTAGTTTATTCCAAACCCATTAATTTTGTCCAAGTCTAATTCTTTGGTTTTAGAGTTTATTACCAAGCAACTCCTAATCGAGTAAATAATTTTCTAATTTCAGAACATAATTAAATCTTACCCATTTTATTTTAGATACTAGACATATTTATTTATAACATATCCAAAAATTAGGTCTAAATACCGAGTACACAATTAATTACAAATTTTGAAACTTAGGGAGCAATCTGCCTAGTATTAGTTTATCTAGAACTATCCGTACTAAATCGGGTATAACACTTTGTAAACCAATCCAATGACCAAGAAATTTTAAAGGCAGTTATTTGAAACATAGAGGAACAACTTTTATGCTTTAAGTTTCACCTAGAAATCGATCTAAAATCCTTGAAAATACACCCCAAAATTCGGACAGAATTTACTCCTTATCAACACTAATTTATTAGTTCATTCCAAGCCAACTTTAAACATGTTTTAGTTCACTTAAATTTAGTCCAAGTTCAATCCAACCCATCACCACATACTTGGACATTTTTCAAAAAATCATAACATCATAAATCATCACAACAAGGCATCCATACATAGATTTATCCCAAGCATCAAGCATATAACCATTAAAGATTATTACAACCCATGAAATAAACACTAACAAAATAACTTAAAAAAATAATTTAAGACATTAATCAGCCAAGAAATGAAACCTACTTACCTCTTTTAGGTTTGATTAGAATTTCTTTAGCTCTTTTTCTTTCCTTTTTGCCTTTTTCTTTCTCTTTTCTTTCTTTCTCTCTTTTTGCTGTTTTTCTCTCTTCAATGTGACTTCTCTTTTAATTCTGGATAGCTACGGTTTTTGGCCTAAAAATGACAGCCATTTAACCCTCTCTTTCCCTTACATACTCACCTTTTATCCTCTCATTTATTTATATCATAAGTGTAAAAATTTAACTAGGCCAAATGTAAAGTGGAGGAAGCTTGGAAGGCAAAGCTGGCATGTTTTGGAAGTCAAAGGTGATGATTTGGCTTCTAAGCATTTAATTCAAGTGCTTATGTGGCTAAAGAAAACTTAGGATAAATAAAAACATTAATAAGCTGGGTTAATGTAATTAGAAAAAATTTCTTTCATAAAAAATTCGGAAATTTCTATTTTTAAAATTCAGAATTTCTTTTTCTCCAAAATTTCAGCAGTGTTACCTCCTAACCCATCTATACTAAAATGTGCATAACTCTTTCTATATGTATCCAAAATTTATGAAATTTTATAAAGAGCTAGTACACACATAGAAAAATAACTTTTATTCTTTACGTTTTTCTCAAAAATCAATCTAACAGCATCAAATAAATCTCACAAGATTCGGGCAGATTCTTCTCCCAAAATTCCAGCAGAATGCATTTCGAAACAACCCTCACTATAATTGGTATAACTCTTAATGTATAGGTCCAAATATTATAAAATTTTATACAGGCCTATTAAACACATAGATGAACAGCTTTCATTCTTTAATGTTGACCCAAAAATTACTCTAAAGGCCTCAAATAATTCACACAAAACTCGGGCAGAATATAGTCCTTAAAACACCGATTTTGCATATTTGATTTCTTTAATAATTAAACCATTAATTGTAAGCACAATAACTTTAATTTAACATAAATCATATATTTCAAGAATTAATTTCTCATGATGAAATGATAATTATACTTACTCTTAATATACATATATATAGAATTATTCTAATACACGTCGCGTTACGGATAATGGTTTTTACGAGGGTTACGGTAGAAGTATACCAATAGAGCGTAGCTGATTTACATAAAAGCTAAGACATTTAGAGATCGAAGAAAACTTCGTGATCATAATCGAACGGACTATAAATCAAGTTTGAGATCACATTGTGATAAATCAACATGAAGATTGAATTGTATGAAATCATGTTCGTGAAAGGTAATTACATATTAATTAATCCTTTTAGACTTGATTTATGTATCAAGAGATAAAAAAAAATGTCTTTTATTTTTTTATATATTGTCAACATATCTAGATCACATACATAAGTTTAAACATTCACACAAAAAAGAGCAAAGATTTCAAAAAAAATTCCTATTTTGGAAATCGAGTTTACTATTTCGAGATATCAATTTTGCAATTTAGAAGTCGATTACCACAAATATAAATTAGTTTCCTATTTTGGAAGTTAGTTTTAAGAAATGAAAATCAGTTTTCTAATTTAAGTTTAAGGATAACTTAGAAAATTGTTTCCTAATGTAAACCTCCTAAAAAAATACACGACTCTCCAAATTAATTGTTAAGTTATTAGGCCAAAGGAGTTTGGGCCGGGTTGCTTAGGTAATAGCTTGCAAAGTATTTTAAGTGAATGGATAATGTTGAGCACTAAAGGACAAGACTCAAACTTTTTAAGGATAAGGTTAAATAAAGTCCACACTAGTTACAACTCTTTTTTGAAAAGGAGTTGTTGCCATATATATATATAGAAAGGGAGAGAGACACACATAATCTATCATGATCAATAAATTAACACAACAATCTAAGAGTTAGAAAATTATATGCGTCTCTCTTTCAAAAATTGACAAACTTGCAACCTCTCTCGTAGAAAAATGTGCGCAACCCTAAAGATATTTTTAAGAGAAAATAAAACATAACGAGAAAAGTTTAGAGCTAGCACTCTATGATTTTTGCTACTTCTTTTATTGGTGTGGAAGCTACGTGAATCATTAATAGAGATCAAATGCTTGGATGGTTCTAATTTAGTAATTTGAATTCTACACTATAAGAGGTAACTCCTCATCATCTTGTTGTTAACATAATTAGTTGATTCTATGTTTGATCTTGAAAACTTTAGATGGAGTAGAACAAATTTTTTTATTTATTTTGCACTTTCATAGGATGCATGATCCTTCATTTGAAAATTAAAATTTCAAGATTTTTTGATCCCCCCATGTTGAGACTTCTTCGTCATACATGTTTTAACAATTATAATTTAATTTGTTATCACCTTACCAATGTTGCGTATTGTCTCTTTTATCAAACATTTTTTTTTCAATCGTGAAACGCTCACTTTTGTTGTCATCCACTCTTTCTCATACATTCGCCATCTTCCACCCTATCTCAAATGACTTGTTGATGGCGCATTTTGGTTTGAATTTTTTTTTCATACCTAAGATTATTTCAATTTTGTGTATATTTTTATTTTTATTTGTTATGGCCTTACTCGTTGTCATATTTTGTCCTTCTTATAAAATGCTATTTTTTTTTCCTAAATTCTAAAAAGTCATTTTCATTAGTGTCCATTCTTCTTCACATGCTAGCCATCTTCCATTCTATCCCAAAGGGCCTATTGTTTATGTGTTTTGGTTTGAAAAGTTTTGGGTGGTATTTGAGATTACTTCGATTATATGTTTTGTTTTGTCCCATCTTTATGCACATGGTTTTTCTTTTCTTTTACTGCTAAAAAATCTCAATCTTTCTTATAATTTTTTTCTTCCTTTTTCTTTAGCTTTCTCCTTTCATTACCGCTGCTCTCTTCTATATGTCGCCAATAGTGTCCGGTTTATATTTTACGGGTTTATGTTTTGCACCTTGGTCTAATACGCACTTTATTTTCTTTGTATGCCATATTATAAACTACCTTTGTCTCATATTTTGTACTCCCTTGCTTTGATAAATAATAAATTATGTCATTTTAAGTTTGTCATGACTGTTTTTTCTTTTTCTATAATGGGGTCATCCTTTGATTTTGGCTTTCTAATTAGATGTATGCTTTGAAATGCAAATTTGAATGCACTTGCCTTTTTCATGTTTGGCTTTCTCTTTTTGCATGGAGTTTTCATATTTTACATTACATCGATGAAGATAATATTTCACATTTTCTTTTGTCCTATGATTACTTATATGCTCGCTTTTGTTTTAATCTTGAAATGATTTGATTTTGTTGTTGGCCATTTTCCTTCGTAAATTGCACATCTTTCATCCTACTCCAATTGGCCTACTACTCATGCACCCTTCTTTTGCTTTTTTTTTTGTTCGTGGGTGGGATAACTTCATGTTCATATATTGTTATCTCTTCTATTCTTGCTATTTATTTTTGCTTTAACTTGTCCTTTACTCTTCTTTATTCAATTTTTTGGTTTTTTTTTTCATCTATTGTTTTTGCATCAAACAAAATTTGTTTTGCTTTTGTTCGAGTGTCTCGTTTCATTTATGTTGCTTTTCCGTACTTGGTTACAACGATGACAAGTTAGTTTTCTATTATGTATTATTATGTACTCTTAATTTTTTGCTCCTTTAATTTTGTAGTTCTTGTTTCTTAGAATTTAGGTCTTCTGTGTTAGATAATTACTAATCGGTTAGGCTTAGATTTTGAAGCATTTTTTTATTTACTAACCGTATAAAGTTAAATCATACTTTTTAGGCTTCATTCCATTCACGGGGCTAATGCGGATGGGTTTTGTTCTATAGTAGAAGAAAATTTTTTGTAGAATTTATTGCCCCATATGCAGCAACTACCATTCTATTTAGAAATGTTTTAATCTCTTTTCTTTTTTATTTTTCAAAACTCCATTCCCATTATGTGCTATTGCTTGTTTTTTTCTCTCTCTCTCTTTTATTAGCTACTTGGAGATGTTGTATATGCTTTTGTATATAATGTCATGCCAAATATTGTCAAATTTTAAAAGTTTATTACTATGTATTGACATGCGTTTAAAATTTTCTTTTACATCATCTCTTAGATTGTGCTTTTCCATAAATGAATGTTTATTGAGGATTTTAACAATGCTATAGTCTCAAGTATCAATGCACTTTTTGAATCATTATCATTAACATTCTTATGGGAATAACCCACAACTTGACTTTGAATAACAACCTTCTCTAGCAAGGTAAAAAATTGGTGACATTAAGTTTAAGGCACTACAAATAATGGGATCCAACACACCAACATTATTAGTACATGTATTTTTTTGATGTAGTTTTATAATGAAAACGGTTTCACTCGCATCTATTTTGATAGTCACCCAGTGCATTTTCATCTTTTTCGTAACTTTCCGTGCCTTGCGATCAACCTTCACGTTATCTTTTAAGAAATTTGATGCCTTGTGTTGAGGTGCCTTCCTTCAAACTACCTTCGGATGTTATCTAATATGTTAAACCTACTCTTGATAAAACTGCTATCCTAGGCCGTCCATCAACTATAACATCTATCCATCATTCTACCTCCACTCATTTCATCGGTCAAACATTTTACCAAATGCATAGAAGAAGTAAGTTTTATTTAATTTAAACTAGTGGAATATGCAAATGTTTTTTCCTTCATTTATAATATATTTTTCCTTCGATCATCTAGAATGCTTTCCTTTTAAGTCAATTGAATCCAAATGTCTTCATGTAGGGTGATTTTTTTCATAGGATTATTTAACGAATATGATGACTTTAGAGACAAAGTGATGAAATGCAAGCATTGCTCGAATTTATTCTAGCTTAAAAAGTGTCTTAAGCCTTCTTCTCTTGCTAAGCTAAACTATTCATTTTGTTTCCTTGGAGGTAAAATTAATCTTTGACCTATGCATCCAAAACCTCTCATATTAGATCACTTTCTTAATCCAGATCATAACATACAATCAAAAAAATTTAGAGAGAACATTCGAGAATATAAATCAAGGATAATGGTCATTCCCACCATTTGATTGGCTCTCTTCTACCAACTCGATGGAGAAATCCCTAGATTTACACACACACACACACACACACACACACGCACATATATATATATATATATATATATATGATACATAAAATAAAGTTTCTAATCGATTAACTCGCTTTAGGTGCATCTACTAATGATTGTAATTTGGATGCAACTTTGTTTTAAATCTTATTGAAAGTCTTAACAGGACTAATGCCTTGGTTGCACTTTTTATAAAGGATAGGTTTGCTTGAACTCGATGGCTTTAGTTACAAATTATGTTTGTTAGGAAGAAGGCTTAATGATAGCAAAGAATTTGATGATTTGGTCGTTGAAGATATTGGTAAATTTTTCTTTGAGCATGATATTATTATTGAACAAATATCGGGCTCCCTCCGTAGAATTTCAAAACTTCATCCTAAATTCAAGTCTTTATAATATCCTCTTCTTTTTTTCTTACGGTGAATATGGCTTTTAAATTGATATGAAATTAAACCTAAATTTTTGAGAAACAATTCCCAAAAGACAAAGAGTGCCCATAAGGGCCTTCTATGCATATCAACTACAAGAGCGTGAGGGTGAGAATTCCAAGTTGCTAAAAGGTAGTTGTTTACTACGGTAATTTTTGGTAGAAGATTTTGTTATTGTTAAGGAAGGTAGGCTTGATTATATCGGGGCAAACTAGAATGCTCTTAGAAGCAAGCAATATAATGGCATCCATGATGCTTTTTTGAAAGGTGACATTGATGTTTCTCATCATAGTACAATAATGGCTTCTTCTTTTACCGTGAATGTCGAGTATATGATAAATAATTACAAAGATGCAATGGCAATATGTAGACAGTTTGGTAATCCATATCTCTTCATCACTTTTATATACAATGTCAATCGGCCTAAAATTAAGAGAGAACTCTTTTAGAGAAGAAATTATAGGCCCGAAAATAGTCCTTCTCTATGAAAACTATTTGTGGTGGCATAAAAATCTCTATGAGTATTAATATTATTATTTTCTTTCATATTTGCTCTTTTTATTATCTTTTTGTAATAAAAAATTACCTACTTTTAGACCTAATTGAGAATTTGTGCAAGTCTTGAAGGTATTTATAAGTAAAAAAATGGAAATGAGGTGTTTGTCACTCGTTAAATTATATGATCCTAACACCAATTATATTACCATTCGAGAACGCGAGCTTCTATAAATTTTCTATAATTTTTTTAATTTATTAAACAAGAGTACGAGCTTTATATATATATATATATATATATATGTGTGTCTTTTTTTGTAGTTGCTTACAATAAAAATTGAGTGATGTCTAAATTATTATGTATTAGTGTCATTAGATCTTGCAAACCGTAACGACTAAGAGCTTTTTTTTACCTTCCTTTTCCGGAAGATTTCAAGATGGACATTAGTTGATGTTCTATGGGACAAAAGACCTAAAACTTGTAAGGTTTGTCAATCCAAATTTTGGTTTTTTTTTTTTTTCCTATTATGCAATGGTTAGCTCGACTTAAAATTAGAGATTCTAACAATTTTGGTGAAATGTTTTAATGTAATGGTAATTTAAAAATTAGTTTTTGGTATTAGTAGATTTGAATTAAAAAATCGTGCGATGTATAAATAAGTTGGTTTTAAAGTTTCTATAAACAAGACCTAACTACACCATTAAGGTGATCGAGCCGATAAGGGAAATTCTTAAACGAAAGCAATGACCATAGATTAGCTATATTGTTGGCATTTAGAGTTTGCTAAAGTGGTTAGATTAGGTTGTACTTATTTGAATGATTAGTGACTAATTTGCTTTCAAATGATTCTAATTGAATTAACTACCAAAATGTTTTTATATTGATCTCTTAATTTTTTTTTCTATGATTTTTGTTTGATCTCTATGATTTTTTTATAGTTTGTCGTCAAATAAGGGAGATATGAATTAATGAAGTTTCTAGTCAATGTTCACAAGTCTAGAGGTCGAAGATCATGAAGGTTTAATTGATTCTATATATTTTTACATTGATTTTAAATTTTCAAACCTTTAATAAAAATATATTTTTAAGCATTTTAGGACCTCCAAATATTTGGTTATGTTGTTTTTTTGTTAAATGCTAACTTTTATGACTTATTGTTTACATGTGTAGCTTTCGACAAAAAAAAAAATAAAAACAAATAAACATTGAACCAAGTCCAATGTCTTTCTTGCCACTCGTTCCATTATTTCTTTCCTTATGTTTGCTTTCTTTGATTCCAATTTTTTATTTTGCTTTTGTTCACATTTTTGCAAACTCCTAGTAAATATTCACTATACCAACAATGAAAAATAACTAACAAGTTAAAATGTAGACTACTTCCGAGCATGTCATTATAGGGCATCATTATTTTATCGCGTTGCATTTCTAAATATAAATAAAATGATTGGCATGCATCATATGATTGTTAATACTAAGTATCAACTCGTTGTTATTCTTACATGTCATCTTTTGCGAATGTGAAAGAAATAATGTATTCTGTAATTTTGATATCCATTATTTCACTTAATTTTTTGTCATTTGCTCATGAAATAACTTCATTATAGGTATTGGTTGCCATTTCACCTAAGGATAATTATTGTATTGAGCTTGTTCTTTCGTCGTTTGACCGTAAAAGGTGATGGATTTGGATCACAACAAGTCGGTGATGGTGGCATTCTTGGTATTGCCATGGTCGCCGCAATCACTCGGTAGACAACTATATATATATATATGTATGTATGTATGTATGTATGTTCCAAAATTATAAATTAGTGACATCGTTGGAGCTTATAATTAGAAATGCATATTTTTTAGTTAAACTCGGATTTTGATGACATATATCACCATTTTGGAGAAGGTGAGAGATTTTATGTGTTAGTATTCTTAGGTATGAATTCCAAAAATAATTTGGAATTATAAGTTCACGTTCAATTCATATTTTTGTTTTATTATATGTAGATGTGAAAGGATTGAATGGAAGGGAACAAATCAAGTAGTTTATTTTTTTCTCCTTATCAATTTTAATGTTTATACTATGATGAATATATTAATCTTCTAGTGGTAATTTGACTTTGAAAATCTTAGTTTCATTCCATAAAATTTTTGGCGCAACCTTTACACTTCTTAACACTATTTACATATAGTAACAAATAACTCATATTTGTTAGTTTTAATTTTTAAAAAATAATTTGAGTTTGAAAATCTTAGTTTAATTCTATAGAAGTATTTGCACAGCTCCTACACTTCGAATTATGATTAACTCTATTTATATATAACAACAAATAACTCATTGGTATTAGTTTTATTACAGCAATAATGGTTACTTTCACTAGCTTAACACAAATTGAATGACTTTAAAACAAGTTTTAAATGTGTTGGAACAAATGACAATACAACTTTTACAAAAGATTTTATTTATATGTAACTACATTTTCATATGTTTTACACATTAAAATGTTCTTCATTATTTTCTTTAATAAATGAATGCTATTTCTTCTTTAAATACTTTTATATGTTCTGTCTAACCCGTAGCGTAACATATATCACAAGCTAGTATATCCTAAATTAACTAATAAAGAAGTTTGTGTATGTGGTTGTAAAAGTAAAAAGATAAAGAAGCTTCTATCTTTCAAAAATCATAACAAACAAAAGTATAATGGTAAAAGGGTGGTGGTATTGTTGTGGTGTGAGTTTTTTAGTCATTGTGGTTTGGTTTTTGGTAGAGTTGAATGACGGTTGAGGGTGGTGGTTGAAAGTGAGTTTTTGGAGATCGATAATGGTTTACTTTAATTTTATAATTTTTTTAAAAAAAATTCTAGTACTTCGTTTGCCTATTTTCTTTAGTATTCTTTCTTTAATTTTTTTATTATTATTTTAAAAGGATAAGTTAACACAAGGATTTAATATTGTCTGCAATTGCAGTTAAAAGAGGGAGAGAGAAAAGGTGAATTTAAGAGAAAGAGGACGCAGTTGTGAAGAAATTTAGAGTGGGGGACAAAAAACAACCATTAAAAGTAGTAGTTTTTGAATTGATTCTCCTCTCTGGGGGCCAAGCAATCTCTTTCTTCTGTGCCAAGATGGTCCTGGAAACAGGATCGTTGGTGAGGTTGGCGAATGGGCATGGAGTTGGTTGTACTGTATGCCTGCTTCCACGTACACAAATATGTGGCCTGTATTGGTGATGGTTGCTTGTCATCTATATATGTAAAGAAAATTTTGGGAAAAGACAAGGATAAAGATAGGAAGATAGAGAAAGGACCTTTCCAAATTTGATAATGGTCCCTCTGATATCATTTTATTTTCGGGTTCCAGGTAGCTATGTACATGCTTGGGTGTCAAATGAAACCTCTTTTTCGTCTCCTTTCTTTCTTCATTTCTTGGTTAAAGCTCACAGTGACGATATTACTTAATTGTTTGCGGGATGCTGCAAATATTCTTTTATTCTACATATGCCAAGTAATAATAAATTAAACAAGTTTCTAATAATGTGGATTAATGACCTCAAGAAAGAAACAATGTCAAGAAAAATGCCTTATAACAGAGAAATTAGCTATAATAATGACCAAAGTTTCCTGCTCCATCCTCATTCGATAATTTCAGATTTTAAGAAAAAGTTAATAATCAAATTCACCAATTGGAAACACACATTCTTGTTCCAGGAAAAAATAACCTTATTGGAAAAACAATTCTCGCTTAGTTTTCCAAAAAATGATCCGAGATATCCACTTTTCAATTAACTCATCAAGTGCAACATCAAAAAGTTGATTCGGAATCCTTCTTTTTAGTAAAATTAACTTTACTCCTCTAGTTCATGATGATTACAAAATGACTTAGAGGTACTAATATATATGTTTTTGGGTCCTTTGTCACTTGATATTTGTAAGAAATGGAGAATTATTAGAAAATCATCTAAAAAAATATTTTATCTAAAAAAATCTATCAATTTGTTTTTAAAATTTTCAAACTCAAAATAATATTTTCAAATATAGAAGGCAGGCCAGGTAATATCATCTCAGAGAATGCTAACAACATTTTTAAGGATAGACATTATTTTAGAGAATGCTAATATCTAGGGCATTGGGAGCTGTTGCTCGTGGCTAGAGAGTCAGCAAGCCTTGTCAGGGGAAACTCCAATAAAAGCAATTAGACCTAAAACGTGGCTCTTTGGAGATGTGACTCCACTTTCCATAAGAAGCAAACCCATCAACGGCTTTAGTACTAAAATGCCCACGTCCTTAAATGAAAATTAAATTCACATAAAGATTAAGATCATGCCCTTTATTGGAAAACTGAAGGTGTTGAATTCAAAGATTAGATTATAATACTAACCCCCTGTTTGGATAGGGATGAAAGCGACGACGACGGCGGTGAGAGCGAGGGGGAGAGGAAAGAAAATGAGATGAAAATGAAAGTTTTTCTGTCGTAGAGGAAACCAGAAGAAATAATAATAATAATAATAAATAAATGTTTTTTTTTTGGGATCCATTTTCCTCTCAAATTTGGGAGGAAATGAAAGGAAAAACGTGATACTTCGTTTTTTTTTTTTTTTTTTTGTGATAACGTTTTTGCCCTCTGCCTCTCATCAGTCGTCCCTCTCCTTTGCAAACCACTGCAGTAACACAAGTCTGAGGGGAAAAAAAAACTTGTTCTTATTAACTAGAGTCCTCGGAATTTTGCACTGCCATACTTGTTTTGACCTTCCCTTTTTACTTCGCATATTCGAAACTAAAATCAGCTTGCCATTGATGCACATCAAATTTCTAGTTTCAGTCCTTCTTCATTTTGTGTTTCTTGAAAACCCATGTGGAGATTTGTTGCTAGATCCTTAAATAAACAATACTGGGTAAACTTTCAACTTTGCTTTCTTTAATATGAGAATATGAACTTAGATCCTAGGTTGATTCTGATATAAAAACATAATTTGCTCCTGGCTCATTCCTGAGTTTGGGAGCCATAGATGTCCAGAAAAGCGGTAGAGCAGAGGATTGAAGGAGAGAGAAAAAAAAACAGCTTATTATCTTTTTTTTAAAAAAAAAGAGAGAGAAAAGAAAAAACCTTAACCAGTTACCAGTAAATTTTTCTTGCGTCATGGTCGGCGTGGACGCCCATTTTGGGGAGTATTGCTAGCCGTTAGAATTCCTTTTTGGCTAACCATATGGTTAATCATCAACGATAGGCTCCGTTCTTCATGCCTTTGGTTTAAACAACCGGTTCGGGCATTGATTAATCTCCTAACGATTAACCAATGACAACGAAATTCTCAATTCCTTAAGCAACGAACAAAACAGATAAAGCAAATGGACCTGCTGCCTTACGCTGACGTGGATTCCAGCTTGAGAACCATGGCCGGTCGAGCAGAAGGGTTTGGCCGATTCTCCATCGGTGGCCTCCACGGTCCTCTCTACTCTGTCACCACCTTGGCCGATCTTTTCTCCTCTCAAACTTTCATTTTCAATCGTTGATCATCAATTAATTAATCCTAAGTTAACAACCTTAATAATCAACTATATATGTTTCTGTTGTTTTTTAGATGATGGGCCAGGATCACTCCGTGAGGGCTGCAGGAGACAAGAACCATTGTGGATTGTTTTTGAGGTTTCTGGCACAATTGGTCCTGTATCACAATTAATTTTATGTGAATAATTAATCTAAATTAATTATTGAATTAATTAATTAATTGAATTAATTAATTAATAGTTATCGATTATTCTACAGAGAAGATTCATTATCCATCTTATCATTTCGGATAAATGTTACATGCTATATTTTTATTTTATTATCATTTGTGTTATTTTTATGAAAAAAATATTCATACAAATTTATTATAAGTATTTAAATATAGAAATATAATCATAAAGGTATTATAGTAAATATATAATAATACATTTTTTTCTCTTTTTACAATTATCCAAAAAAAAAATATATTTTCTTTCCTTTCATTTATATTCTTATTAAAATAACAAATGGAAAATAGTTTTTTTTTTTTCCTTCCACTTTTTTCTCTCTTTTCTTTTCTCCCAATAGGAAATATCCAAACAAGAGGTAAAAGAGTTAGGGAGCGAAGCAAAAAGAATAATAGATTGAGGATCAAAGTGTAATGAAAGTTTATAAAGGCGTCTTTTCAAACATTGTATCTGAACATATTGTTAAAACCTGAACCGATTCATCGTACATCTGGTTAATCATGAACCGCATATTCAGACATGTATTTTTAACCCTCTGTTTTCAAACCTCATGTTCCTCACAAGGTTCGTTTTTTATTTGAAAATCATGACCAAAATCATGACCTTTGAATATACATTGAACATCCTGAACAAATAACTTAAAATATTAGTTGTTGGTCACTAACAGTATAATACAAGTCATTTGGTTGTTTAATAGCAACCCTTTTCTTTTACTTCGATCTTTCAAAATTCTTGCCAATTTTTTTAAAATTTGTTCAATAACTTAAAAAAAATGTTCGTTATCAAATTTAATCATATATTATATAGAATAATATTGATTTAAAAATATATATCCAAAATTAAGATAATAAATTAAAAAATAAATTATTAAATTAATTAACGATTAAGTTTGAAATAATTATAGAAAAATAACATATTAATGAAAATACTTCAATCTAAAAAAACCTAGAAGAACGATTATTTTGCAAGTAGTAAAAAAATTTTATCGGAAATTTTTATGCTAAAGAAATTAGTAAGTATAAGATGAAAGTATAAAAAATATTGATTTTAAAAACTGTTTAATAAAGATATTTTAAAAAATTCATTATTCAAAAGAAAAAAAAAACAGTTTTTTTTTAAGACAAAAAGAGTCCTAAATCCTTTATAGTATGGATAAGAGCGCTTCAAAGATGATGAATCTTGACATTTACAAAAACACTTATCAAACATCAATTCTTCCAACACAAATTCCATCTTTTCTATGTTTTTTTTTTAAAAACAAGCATGACTTCCCCAACAGATATTACTGACCGTAGGACCAATTAGAAGGAGGGGGGAAAAAAAAAAAGGTGCCATTTCAAAGAGGATACCTGTTTGGCATCACGAAGGATCAAAAAGTAGAAATCCGGTATGGTCATGGGACATGATGCCGTGGTGGTCAGGTGATAATCAGTTGCCTCATCTTCATGTGTCATCGTTTAATTGGCGCAGTACATAAATTCCCACGTGCTTATATATCTGTGCGTCACGGTACATGGCCTTCTGCCTGCATTTGTCTCCTTCATCAGATAACCCTGGCTAGCTAATTAACTATTAACATCCCTAACCTATAGCTATAGCTCAAAGGCATAAATATCAAGGAAAAGCATCTCCTGCAGTAGTGTCACTTCGATATTCTATATAAACCCTACACGAGAAGCCTGGTTCTTTTAATTTGTTAACCATCATCGAAGCTAGCTGCTCGCTCTTTGTTTCATTCCCATCTAACTACTTCTCTAGGGACTTCTTGTTTAAGGGCGGACTAGCTAGCTAGGAGAGGCTGCAGGGAAGGAAATATACTTATCTGAGAGCCAAACAAGCCGTGTTCATTTATCTGCATTTGCACCTGCACCTTTTCAATCACCATTTCTGTGTTTTGCTCTCAAGTTCGTTTTGACTATATATATATATATACAAAATGGGATGGAGAGAGGTGCTGGTTCTAAATGCAGACAAAGATCACCTTGCTTATTCTCCAACCTTTCTCGTTTCTCTGCTACTGTTTCCAATCTGAAAAACGCATGGCCTCGGCTTGTTAACTTAATTTCTGTCGTAAGAAATCAATATACCTTCACGTTTTAACTTAATTTCTGTGGTAAGAAATCAATATACCTTCACGTTTTGTACACTAATATTCTTTTTTCTTGAACTGTATCTATATGTTACATAAAATTGCGACTAGTTAATTATCACTATTATTTGATTACTTACATATCTATTAATTCAGTGTTCTGTATATTTTCTGATGAAAGACGAGATGGGTTTTATCAGAGAGCCAAGACAATCCAATAGGTATACTGGCTGCATGGATATGAAAAGAACAAAAGAAACATAAGAGACCAAGACAGGGGAGACGATTTCAGATACATAGGCTAACGAACAGCAACAAAAATAAGAAGCATCATCAGAGTAGATTAAGCTATCCATTTTTTTCCCCTCTTGACCTGTAGTGGTGTTAGCTTGATAGCTTCTCGATAAATATTAACAAACTTAATCTTCGCGAAATATCCCTGATGACAAAACATGAATGATTGATAAGGGGTGAATTCCATGGATTCTAGGTGTGGAGATCCAATAAGCTATGAGTCAATTAAGAGATCAATACTTCAGAGAGTTTCTTCATTATTTATTTGATAGTGCTTTCTCATATTCCAAATAAAATCTAAAGATTATTAAATGTATTTTCTCCCCTCTTGTTATGTAATTACCTCCATAAAAGGAGGAAATATTAAGGTTGGCATGCCTCGGATCCTTTCCACCCGCTAAACTATGTAAAATCAAATAATAAATCGGAAGTTATATAACTGGATTGATTGATCAAGTAATCGCTATATCGACTTTTTTTCGTTTCCTTTTTTGGCAACATTATACATGGACAAGGGAGATAAGGTTGAGCTGTGCAAGGAGGAAAATATCTGGTCATAAAACGTGCGGTCAGATGCTGTGCATCTGGATTAGATTGACCTGAGAGACAAGAATTGTTGTGAGATCTTCATTGAGCATGATGGCTGTCGTACCATCAATAAATTAGATATTTATATTATCTTAATGAAAGTTAGCCACTATAGTATAAATAGAAAAAGTAAAGATATTTATATTATCTTAATGAAAGTTAGCCACTATAGTATAAATAGAAAAAGTAAAGATTGAATCCATAGAAAAGAGACTTAATTGTTGTTTTTCTTAATCGATTGTTCTTGTAAAAGTAATAAAAGGGGAGTTTTGTATTTGAAGTATTGGTAAGCAATTAAAATAACTAAAGATAAAAAATATTAAGAAAATTTTGATTGAATTTCAATAGTTATTTTTGATTTGTTCGTTGATTATCTATTTAATTATTGATTTATCATAAACATAAATCTTCACCGTATGACAATAACATATATGTTATTCTTAGTCTTTTCTTACTAAGTCGTTAATCAAATATACAACACTCGATTAATTTTCTAATTAATAAATAACTTAACAAATGTTATATAGATTTAATTCAATAACAATATTAATTAAAAAAAGACAGGTGAAGCTAAATTACCCTCTTAGATACTACAAAGATGTAATTCAGTTCTATATTTTTTAAGAAATTAAACGAAAACGTGAAAAATAATCATCAATCTCTAATAACTATTACAGATAAATTTAAACGAACAATTACACGGACTTAAATACTTAGTTAGTAACAGATTAAGATGATTAAATAACTAATATGTATTTTAATTAATTTAATCACATAATGATAAACCATTATAATATAATAAATAAAAGCTAATTTATAAATTGAAAGCAGTGTAATTATACTGCAGTAACCATAGGAGATGCCAACTATCGATCATTCAAATCCATATGTACCAAGACTCATGTCCAGGCCCACTTAATTCTTTTTTTGTTTTTCTATTCGAGGAAAAAAAAAAAAAAAAAGAGGCTTTGTAGACAGCGCATTACCCACATAGAGGACAAATAGTTTGCAGTTCGTTTTGGACATATCTGGTTAGAATTTTGATAATCGCATCTGACTTCGATGTGTTGCCAACAACAATTTTAAAAATTGTCATTTTCTTTTTATTTTTCATTTAAAAATCAAAATTTTAAGCCTTTTAAATACAAATTTAAGTTAAAGAAAAACAATATTAATGGGCAAATGTTGATTGAGAGTAAATTAGAAATTAATCCTTTTTGTTTCGATAAATAAATTAATTAGTCCCTTTTATTTTATAAATTAATTAATTAGTTTTTATATTTTGAAATTTATTTGTAATTTAGTCCTTTTATTCTTTTTAATTTATTTTGATTTTTTGTTTTAAAAATAGAAAAAGAAAATAAAAGAAAAAAGATTGATGAGAAAATAAAAAAATTTATGAAATAAAAATAATATTAAATTAAGTATGATTGATACTAATTAAATAATAATTTTGAAACGAGAGGAACTAATTAATTTTTTTTTTTAAATAAAGGGACCAACTTATAAGTTACTTTGTCGATTGTACATAAAATTATTGAACTTTCATTTTGAACTCAATGTTGACACAATAGATCAGACATGGAAATAGCATAACTTATTCCACTTTCTAGTGTTTGAGAAAAAAAAATGATAACATATATCATATCAAACCCAATTCTTCCAAAAGTTTAATTTATTCAATAAACCTTAAATATAACTTTTATTTTTTCCAACAGTATTGATCAACCTTGTGCAAATCATTTGGTACGTATAGTATTAACTAAAAAACTGAAAAAAATCATCGGTTACTGTAAGGTTACTATTTGAAATACTGTTCATGCTCCCACAATTTACTATTTACCATCTTACGTTTCACTATTCATAGTTTTTTCTTACACTTTAATCTTTGATATTTTCGAAAGCATATTTCGATCCACATATTCATTTGTTCATCCATTTTGGTTCTTGGATGAAAAGAGAAGGCTGAGAGGAAGAGAAAGATTGTCGGCCAATCTTATAAGCGATCTCTCATGGTGTAAGAGGAGTTAATTATAGATTTTCCATAAACTAGGACTGCTCTGTCCAAATTAATAAACAGATGCTAAAACGACGTCGTTTGTAGTGTTTGCTATAAACAACCATAAACGAGAGCAAGACAACTCTCTTTCCCTTGGAAATCAAAACCCTAAAATGGGAGGCAAGTGTCCAAGCAGGAAGGTGAAGAAGAGAAGATACTCTCACAAGACGGCTCGTCGCTCCAAATTTCTCCTGAAAGATATCCTCTTTACGATTATTAATTATTTTTCTCATTTTTAGTAGTTTGTCTCTTCAATTTTGTGCATTCGTGTTTTTGTGTTTCCTTGACTTGATAATTTGATTCACGAGACGATGCGGTATACGATGAGCTGCAAAAATCCGATGGGGAGGTGAAGGCAACGTTGCCACTTGACGAGGATTTACCTGGCATGGGCCAATATTACTGTCTGCACTGCGAGTAAGTAATTTTTATTTCTTTATCTATGCTTATGGTTTTCTACAAATTGAGTTGGCTTGTTTGCTTAGCATTTGTTAAATTGGGCAGCCGCTACTTTGCTAATGTGACTGTGCGGGACGATCACTTCAAGACCAAACGTCACCGGAAGCGGTCAGTTCTCCTCTGTTTCTCTAATTTGCATCTCTTGTTTGGTATTAATCCTTTGGGTAATGGAGATAAGAACCTCAAGAAAAATTTCTGCTTTGATTTCATAAATTTTACTGAAAAAAAAATGCAATACCAAACAACTTAGGCAAAGCTAATGGCAGCGGTGTGTGAGGTTTTTGAGATAAATCGGCAGTCATATTTGCACTTTGTTTGTTCTAGGTCCTTAAGAGCATTTATTATTAACTTAGAAAGCTACCATGATATACACTTCAAATCTATCAATGCAAGCACTTGTTGGAGCAAATCCCTAAATGGTCAAATGTGGTAGGAGTTTGAGGATCTAGTAATCTTTTATGGGTATTGGGCGCATGAGTCACTCAAACCATTGATGACAGTGCTTTTCTAATCAATACTAGCCACATAAAGTAGTGCCCATGCTGTGTATGAATGCTTAAGCCTGCATGCCAAGGTTAACTAAGCCTGTGCACTTTATTTTCTTTCCTCTTAAGGCACTCGATTTTGTTCCTAGTATTATGGAGGTTGGATGAAATCGAGACTGATCTACTTAAGATAGGTGCACAACTCAGCTGGTCAAGTCTGTTGTTTTCCCACAATTTGCATATATGATTTTCGTTCTCCAGAATCTTGAATCGAGTCTGAGACCTTTTTCACCTGATAATAGAAAACTACTAAACCTAATGCTTGCCCATGCATATCTAAAAAATATTGGATAGGATATTTAGTCTGAAATTACTTTTGCTGAATGCAGTGTGAAGCAAATGATGGGACCTGCACCGCATACTCAACTGGATGCTGAGTTAGCTGCCGGGATGGGTGCCCCAGATAATGGTCTTAAGCTCATGTCTACTTGAGCATCTTGTTTTCTCTTTCTTTGCTGATACATACGTTTAGATGACGATTGTGTTCAAACAGGCATCCTTTGTAGCTGGAGGATATTTTGGTTTGTAACAATGGTCTCTTTAGTGTTAGCTTCCTATATTGCTGCAATAGTAATGGTAACCAGCTTTCTTCTTGGTCTACTCTGCCACTTTATATATCTGCTAGTTTGATAGTTCTGGGAGAATAGGGATTTGATCTTGATACCTTATATTTGAAAGGAAGGTTTAATACCTTGGCCAATTCATGTTATGTGGATTTACATCTGGGCATGCTGATTGTTTTGAAGATATAATGCAGAACTTTGTGAACTTGCCTTTTTCATCCACTACTGGGTCATAATCCAGTTCTTGAAGTCCTTGTTGTAATTAATTGGGCTTTACCAGCAAGTTGCCTTTTATGCTTTTTTGGCAAAGCTTATTTCTGGCCACTCATTTAAGTATCCATGCTCAGTTTATCTAGCAAAACAGTAGGAAGCAAAAATTGCAGTAGATGAACTTGGTTGTTATGTCTCAGATGACACAGGTTATTGGTTGATCACCGTTCAAGTAAATTCCTTCATTTAAAAGTGGTTATGCCCCGCAACTGTTGTTTTCTCAATAGGTTATTTATTTTGGAGTTGATATGGGTTCGATTGGTTATGTGATCATAACCTGACAGGGATTTCTAAAAAGAGAAACAGGATAAGAAATTTTTTTTACTACTGAATTTTCAATCAAACGGTATTAACTGCATCAGCAAAAACTGTTTCTCATCATCTGCAGGTCTCAAATTACCTGTTGTGCGACCTATTGTTGCTGTGCCAGGTACCGTTTCCTTGAATCTATTATAGAGGTTTGTGTATTTATTAATAGGGATCATACCTTAATTTCCTTTATAGTCCTCAGTGCCTAAAGCCTTCTCTTTGAGATGTGTCATTTAATTGCCTTGGCGATCTATCATTAAAAAAGAAAAAGGCACTTGGAGATCGCAAGAGATTTAAGTGAAATGGCAATGGTGTTTCCTCGAGTTTTCAACAGTAGAGAAGGCAGAAGAAGCAATAGATTTTAGAAGGTGCAAACCCATCACTGATCATCAAGCTGCATGTCGGTTATGTTCACACGTCCAACTTTAGTTTTAGGATTTGGTTAATTTGGTGGGACATGAGAAAGAGGAAAGGTATATAGAGCATTTTCAGGATAAATCTCCACGGAGTTTGATTCTTGGTTGTTGGTAATTGATATTTGGCAAGCTAGTTATGCTATTGGAGAGTTGCAGCTTTTATAATTTCACAATATCTTCACCCAGTTAATGGCTTCCATATGCTATATGGTCAATTAGGTATTAGCCCTTTGAGTTCATAGGTTGACAGTAAACCTCTCCCAATTGCATGGCATTACACGAAATTCTTATTTTGTTTGGGTTTGTTTCATTAATTTCCATCAATAATTGGATTAATTGCATATTTCGTCCTAGCATTCTCGATTTTTTTAAATATAATTTCTCTATTTTTATTTATTTATTTATTTAGTCTTTTTATTCTAAACATTCCCTCAGTATAACCCTTTTGATAAGATTCGGTTAATTTTTTGACAAGAAGTGACAGGTGGGTTGTCACTTTAGATCATAGTGATACATATAAAAAAAAATTAATTTCAAAAAATAATAAAATGAAACCAAAAAAAATGGGAAAAAATTATTTTTTACATGTATTATTATTATCACCTCCACGTCACTTGTTTTTTACTAGAATTTTATCAGAATGATCACATTAAGAAAATATTTAGAATCAAAGGCTCGATAAAATAAAATAAAATACAATAATAAAAAAAAACAAATTAAAAAAATATTAAAAATACATGGATGAAATATGCTATTAATCCATCAAATAATTAGCTTGCTTGAACTTTTTAACGGGGAAAGGTAGAAGGTACTTGTATGGTTGGTTCGCTCCAGTGCATGCATGTTTGTCAGGTTGAAACGGCAGCTTAAGAGGTAAGATAGGGTTTTGCCCCTGAAGATAGGAGCTAATAAAGGCCTATCATTTTTACGAGTTACCAGTTTTGATAACATTAGTCAGAAAAACTCTCATTTTGAAACTTGTGTTTGTATTAATTAAATCCTTTATATATAATTTGATGGATTTAATCTTATATTCGTTATATTTAAGTAATAAAATCTAATTATTTTCAATTCTTAAAAAATAAAAAATAAAAAATAAAAACTATCTAACTTTACGAACGAAACTAGGTTTATTAAATGAAGAACCAAAATCAAAATTAGACTTCTTCTATTTTTCTAAAATGTGTAATATGAAGTGTGGGATTGTGAAATTCATGTACAAATCCCACATTATTATTATTTGAAAATGATTTTTTTTTTTAAATTAGGATAGGGCGTGTCATGCAATTAATATTTTCCACATCAACAAGTTTTTTTTTTTGCCAAATTACCTAAATATAATGAGCATAAAATTAAAATTTTCAAATTATTTACATAGAGTTTAATTTATGGATTTATATAAACACGGGTATCCAAATGTGTTTTTTTTTTTTTTTTTTTTGAATCTTCTGTCTTGGTTTTGGGATTTAAATTTTGGGCCCTTCTTCTTATCGTATCTTTTGGTTTTGGCCCTTTCCTCTTGTCACATATACTGGCATTCTGGTAGTGGCTTTTGGTGCCTTGCTTGTATTCAAATTCAAGTTGGGCTGAGCGTGTCAGCTACGTCCACTGTCACAGTTGGAAGACCTTTACAGTGAAGTAATAATTGTAAGACTGACGGATCCCTAACCACCGCATGCTGCAAGCATAGGTCTCAACTGGTTCCCGAATCCTGAATGCAAAAACATTTTGACCTTTTTATGGGCAGTAAATTATTGCAGAGCCAAGACGATAGACATCATATCTTTCAGGTATTCTTGTCTGTCCCATTGTTTTTAGTATTTGCAACCTCCAATTCAGACAAGAAACAGCAGTTGTAGTCAGCACTTAACAGTGTGTCATCATCCAATGTCACTTCAAAAGCAAAATGTTCTCAAGCACCATTAAAGCCCATCTGCGGCCACTAACATCCTTATGTTTCTTTAATGGAAAGAGGTCAGGTGTAGCCCACACAAAGACATAGCATACCATGAGGCATGATCTAACACTCCCTTGCTGTCATTTTCCAAATGCCACATCCTTGACTTTTCTCTCACGCTTGTCCACCACCACCACCACCACCACCCAGCTTCTATTAATGGTTGAAGGTGCATATATGATTTATTGATTTCAATGAGGTCCTTGTTTGGATTATTTGTCTTTGTTTCTCATGTAGCTGCTATCTTGTCCCTAGAAACTCTTAAAGGACACACGTGCAAACAACCACCATGTGAACTTTGACACAATAATTTCCTTCCACACAACCCAAATCATAAAATGGATACGCATCCTATTGAGCTCAAGATTGGATGGATGATTTCGAATCGCCAAGAATTGTTTTTGATCACCTTAAAGTTTGGCTTGTGATGCTACTCATCATGCGTGTATAAATTGTACAGCACGTTATTAGTTTTCAGGTCTACATATCCGTTGCCATTCGGGTCCATTGGTTTTCCATCAGTGTCGGAAAGTGGTGGAATCCTAACGTGCATGGTAGCCCTTGTAGCCTAATTACACAACCATTCATCATTATTGCAAGTCTAATCAGGATTCCATGCATGATTTCATAGAAACTACAAGTATGGACACTGTTGGATAAATTTAGTAGTACATGTCCTAATCGTACATAAAGAATGAGTAAATTATAATTAACCCCTCACATTTTAAAAACTAACTATTTAATTAGTCCTTTTATACGTTTATGTTATTTTCTGTTTTTTTTTAACAGAAATACGAAAAAATAAATAAATATTATGAAGAAATTAATAAAAAAAAGAATATTTTTTAAAATAAATTAGGTCAACATTGGCAAGGGACTAATTAATTTGTTTCTCGTTGAGAAAGGGACTTACAATTTATAATTTTCTCCATTAAAAAAAGTAAGGAATTTCTCGATACCTTTCTCTCACAATTATTTTCCAACATCGGCATCATTCTGTGAAGGCAAGTGCGACAAACCAAATGCACAAGGGATGCTCCCATGAATTTCAATCTCGTGGAACTATTCATCATTATAATTTCCTTAGAAAGATTCATAAGATTAGCAAATGTGGTAAAAAAAGGGAGAAAAAATAATTAGATAATGCACATACTATACTACTATACCATAACATTAAAATAGAAACAAAAACCCAAAAAATCACAAGGGGTTGTATGGGATATACTCCTCTTACTGGTGTTTTCTTTTAACCACACTACCCTTCCCTGTCTTCATCATCTTTAGGTCTAGTCGAGGAACTTGATCCTGATGCCATTCCAATGACTTGGCTATGAGTGAACCTTTGTAACTGTATCATGCGGGCATAACACCCATCAGGATAATTTTTCAGAAGATGTGAGTGTGATCCTTGCTCTGCTACTTTACCATCATCTATAACAGCAATGACATGAGCATTTCTTATAGTTGATAGCCGGTGTGCAACAACTATTGTGGTCTTTCCTGAGCAAGCACGATCCAGAGCTTCCTGGACAGACCTCTCAGATTCAGCATCTAGTGCACTTGTTGCTTCATCGAGTAGCATAAGCTCAGCCTTCCTTATTAAAGCCCGAGCAATGGCAATTCTCTGCTTCTGCCCACCAGATAACTGAACTCCCCTCTCCCCTACAAATGTTTTGTACCCATCTGGCAATGCAGATATGAACTTATGGGCATTGGCCAAAGTAGCGGCTTCAATTATTTCAGTCTCAGTTGCCGACTCATTCCCGTATGCAATGTTTTCATAAATGGAAGTAGCAAAGAGGCATGGCTCCTGAGGGACTATTGCAATGTGCTTTCTTAGGGACTTGAGATTGTATTTTCTGATGTCCTTTCCATCAATCATCACACGGCCAGATGATGGCTCGTAGAATCTCTGTATGAGAGCAATGACAGAGCTCTTACCACATCCACTAGGACCCACAAGGGCAAGAATTTTCCCAGCTCGTGCGCGAAGATTGAGGTCGCGGAAGATTGGAACATCAGGACGAGCGGGATAAGAAAAGTCTACATGCTTCAGTTCAACTTCTCCACGAAGACGGTCAGGAACTGGGGTAGCATCTGGATCATCAGGTTCAATTTCAGTTTTACGGTCAAGTAGTTCAAAGACTGAGCGCATAGCTCGACCACCCTTAATGAAGTCAGGCGCCAAGGTTAATGTTTCAGCTGCGCCATTGGCAGAGACCATGAGGACCATAAAAACTCGGATTGTCTTTGAGAAATCGGATATTCCATGCTTCACTAGCCAGGATGCATACCAAAGACCAAGAGCATAAGAAGCATAAAGAGAAAACTGAGCTATCCCAAATCCACTTCCTGCAATCTGTCCCTTCCAAAAGCAACGTCGTAAAGGCACTTCGAGATTGGCAGAGAAAAGACCCACTATTTTTGCCTCTGAATTGAAGGCAGCAACAGTCCTCACATTGGCTATGGCCTCTCCTGCCAATTGTGTGGCCTTGGAATGAGCAGCTTCTAGGTCTCCAGAGAAACCATTCATGAACATTTTCTGTTAAAAATCAGAGGCAGGAAGAGAAAAAAAAATCAGATCAGAAAAAGTTCTTTAAGGTGAATTATTTCATAGACATTATAAAAGAGATGAAAATTTCAAATCATGTCTGGCTTTAACAGAAAATAAAATCTACATTTATTGCTGGTGACATCATAAAACCATTTGGATTTGTTTGTGAAAGTATGGAATTCCTCCCATGGACCATAAAATGATTAAATATGAATCAACATTTCCCTCGCTAAAACATATTATGTCCCTCCTACATAATTCTCTTACGATTGTGCCCCAAAACCCAAGATTGAGTGACAAATTTACTGTTTACAGTAGCTTGCCAACAACCTGATATACAAGTGACATTACTGAGGAACTGGTCAAGGAAACAAACCTGCAGAACGGTTGCTGCAACAACCAAAGGGAAGACAGCAATGAGGACAAGGGCAAGGCGCCACTGCAAAACAAACCCTGCAGTGCAAGCAACAAGCATGAGTGCTGTATTCTGTACGATCACTGAAATTCTGTCTCCAATGGCTGATCTGACATTGTTTGCATCAAGAGCCAATCTTGCTGCAATCCTAGCACTCTCATGTTCCTCCTGATCAAACCATGCCATTTCATTTTTGAGAACTGCAGCCAGCATTTTCTCCCGCACTCGTTTTGTAAGGTTTTCTCCCACAATATCCCAGAAGGAATGCTGTAGTGTATTGAATATCAGTGCAGCTGATGACAGCCCGATTAGCAAATAGCAGTATTTTGCGATCTCTCTGCTCATATAAGCATGGTTTGGATTATAGTAGACGCTGAGTACAGCACTGAGAACATATGCAAAGAAGGCACTAAGGGAACCGCAAATAACAGACCCAATAGAACCAACCAGAGCATAGACCCATTCAGGAGAATTCATCTTTGCAAGGCGCCAGAAGGAACTAGCTTGCTCCTTGAAAGGAAGCTTTTCAAGTCGGTAATTGGGGAATGAGGCATCAAGAGAGAGACTAAAGTCTGAAGTAGAAAAGTCAGATAGCCTGCGAGAGTATGGTGATCGGCCATATGAGGAATTACGAGCAATTATTGGTGAGCTCACTGAGTTCCTTGCACTAGAAGGTCTGCAATAAAGAACTATGTTAAATGGAAATCTAATGGCTTAGTCCTTAACAACATTCACACATTTTAGGGGCAAAAGAAATACATAAAAGGAACAAAAATTCAAAAGAGCAATTGGAGACCAAAGTTGATAGAACCTACCTTGCACTACTCTTTCTGGCATTGTTTAGAGCTGTTTCATGTGCCATCTCCTGCATTCTGATGAGCTTGGCATACACACCATTTTCTCCTTTGGCAATCAGCTCGTCATGCGTTCCTATTTCACTAACACTACCCTGCTGGAGTACAGCTACAAGGTCAGCCTTGCGTATGGTGGAGAGCCGATGGGCAATGACAAGAGTAGTCCTGCCAATCATGAACCTGTCAAGGGCCTCTTGCACTAGCTTTTCTGACTCAGAATCCAAAGAACTTGTTGCCTCATCTAAGAGCAAAATTGCTGGGTTTTTCAGCATAGCCCTTGCTATAGCTATTCTCTGCTTCTGCCCTCCAGAAAGTTGCAGTCCTCTCTCACCTACCTGCAATTTTTAAATCATTTTATACATGTTATGTATGCTCTGTCGAGTTTCTACATGAGTTTTATCGATTGCCAATGATTCCATTGAAGGTAGAAAAAAGAAACAAAAACTGAGAAATCATATTCCAAAATAGGTCAGGATTGGAGAAAGTTTGATCATTCCCTTTTCATGCAATTACTCAACAACTGGTCAGAGCATAACATGATTACCTTTCAGGCATAATGGTATTATCACAAAGACATAAACAGAATTTTCCTTGAGTTTATTTCTTTGAATTTTCCTCTAGGTCCGTTGTAAAATAAGGTTTTCTTGCCTGTTATAGGTTATAGTTAATTGAATTTTTTTTCCCTTTTGAAAGATATTATATAGCTTAAGATTTTTCTCATAATTCATGAGTAATTTCTTCATGAATATTCTTCTTTCAGCTATTTCTTCCCACTTGCTGCCTTCAAGTAATCATCTATCTCCAACGTCAACATCACTGAGATTCGTATTGGCCTTCTAATGTGTTTGAGTTTGGTAGACTTCAGAATTCTTTATTTTCCCTCGGGATTAGACTGGCATATTTAATGACGACATCACGCCCTTCATTTTATTAATATTGTCTTCTTCTTGACAAATCCTCTTTCTAAAGTTTATTTCGTCCTTACTTCTGCACAAACATATAAAACCTTACATATGCACATGCAATGTTGACTATAGCATGTTACCTTCTTTCAAATGCATGCCTGACCAAAACGCATTCCCACATTGACTTCTAATAAGAAATTGGACAAGGTTAGGCTAAATTTGTTGACCAAATAAATCATTCAATCTTTTAATACTGTGCTGTATTGAAAGAATTATTTGGCATAAGAAAAAAAAATATATCTATCTAACTTAACTGTGATCCCCACTAGCCACTGGTCAAGATCTATCATTTCATTTCACATTATGGAATGACCAATTTTACCCCACCTCCCCCAATTGCCATAAAGTCAATTATTTACCTTGCACAGGCAAGTACTTCAAATATTTACCTTGCGTAGGCAACTACTTCACTTGTGTACTTGATATGTTTTTTCTTAAAGGAGTTAACTACCTATTTGATTCAATTTACTAAAGGGATTTAAATTCAGATTTTCCAAATTTTTAAAGAGAACAGCTAATTATGATAAGAAGTTAACAGTCCTTAACAAGGTTTAACACCAAGTTGGTTAATTGTCCAGTGTCATTTTTTACCCAATTAAAAGTCACACGCTACTGCATCCTTAAAAGTAACTTACCTGAGTGTCAAAGCCATCAGGGAGCTTGATAATGAATGAATGGGCATTTGCAACTCTGGCAGCTTCTTCGATCTCAACTTGATCTGCATCAGGCCTTCCCAATAGTATATTTTCCTTAATAGTGGTTGCAAACAAGGTAGGCTCTTGGCTAACAAGCCCTATTTGTTGTCTCAACCATCTCAGCTTTAATGTCTTAATGTCATGTCCATCTAGCAGTACTTGTCCTGCAAAAAAAAAATATTTTATTAATATAAAACTTGTGCTAAAACTTTCAGATCCACATGAACCAGTTGAACTCAAGAAGCAAATTCACTTCAGTTGGCAGTTATCGTTAATTCTGTCAATTAAAACATTGACATTTTTCACAAGATGTAGCTGTCCACTCTAGTCTTATATACTAAGAATGAAACTATAGCACAATTTACCTGAGTTGGGATCATAGAATCTCTCAATGAGTGAGACTACAGTGCTTTTACCAGAGCCGCTGCTGCCAACCAAAGCTATGGTCTTTCCAGCTGGGACATTAAGCGAAAAATTGTTCAGAATTTGAACATCTGGCCTTGATGGGTACGCAAAATCTACATTTTTTAGCTCTACAAGCCCAGTAACGGACTCGAATTCTATCCCAGATTCACTGTTTCTATCAATAACTGGCTTATGATCAATTGTTCGGAAAATTTTTGCAGCTGCAACTTTTGCTTTGGCAAATGCACCCATGCTAGGGATAGCTTGTCCTATACCTCTGCCAAAAAAAAAAAAAACTTGAGCCAAATCAAGATTTGTTTTGATAAAAGTGTCCAAATATTATACCTGATCACATGAGGGAAAATCGAGCACTTACAATCCTCCAATCATGACAGCAAACATGGTAGCTATGGCTAGACCTCCATTGGTGTAATGGTGCCTAACAAGATAACCTCCATACCAGAGAAGAAGAGCATAGCAACAGAAAACAACAAAGTAAGTTGCACCTAATCCCAGTCCCTTCGAAAACCCACTCTTGTAACCGATCCTCTGAGAGACCTTCAAAGCGGACGAGTAGGCTTGCAATGCTCTTGATTCCCCAACAAATGCCAAAACAACCCGAATTTGGACTATTGTCTGCAATTTGGCTTCAAATTAGCAAAATGCCCAGACACAAAAACAGAGAAAGATTCTACTAAGCAACTTTAGCTCCAATGTTTCGACAATTTGAAATAAGTGAATCACACAATAAATTTGCAATTTTTTGTTACCTGCTCTACAATGTTTCCAGCCTGTGACAAAGCTTCTTGGCTCTTGCCAGAGAGCTTGGCTAATGTGGTGGTGTGGATGGCTCCAATTACAGCTATGAGTGGAACCACGGCCAAAGTGACCAGTGCTAATTGCCACACAGCAGTGAAACCCACCACAAATCCAGAAACAAAAGTTGCCATGTAGTGAATAAAATTACCCAACTGCACCAAAAAAGAAAAACACGTCTTTAGCCAAAAAAAAAAAAAAAGAAAAAAGAAAAAAAGAGTAATTAGGAATGATGAAACAGAGTTGTTCTTGTTCTGTTTTTACCTTCTCACTAATGGCATCTTGGACCATCACTGCATCAGTGTTAATGGCAAAAACAACGTCTGATGTCCGAACCTCGGTGTCAAAGTATTGAATGTCCTGGTTTAATGCCGCTTCTAGGTACTTGATCCTCATCTTTGTTGATTGCCTCTCTCCAGTCCACATCCAACATGATATTTCTGTAGCAAGAATTCAAGCTTTCTTTCAGTTCCAATGTAATCATTAACATATCCAAACATAGAAACCAAAATCAAAACAAACCAAGAAACTGGAACAGAACCTACCTGCCCATGATGATGCCCAAATTGCAGCACCAACAATTAGAAAGTAAAATGCGTACTGCAAAAAATTGAAACCACAAAGTTACAGTATTATTCATATTTGTCAACATGTTAACATGAAAAAAGGATACTGCTTTTTTTCTTCTTTTCTTTTTTTATGAATATGTTTGTTTAAATTTAGTACCTTCAAAACTTCTTGCATCATCTTATCCATGTTATTGGCATTAGAGCCAAAAGAGTTAACAAGATCGGCAAAGAACCGAAGAAAAAGAGGCAAAGAACATCCATGTACAAATGCACCCATTGACCCAATTCCCATCAACACATAATCTAACCCATCAGCAAATCTAAACAGCTCTCCGAATCCAACTACAGCCACATCACCCGGCTTCTCTCCATTCCCACCACCACCACTACTACTGGAAGGCCCATCTTTCTTTGGTTCAGTACTTTCCATTTCTCTTTTCTCAACTACACTTTCCTGTTCCTGTTGTAGTTGTTGTTGTTGTTGGTCTGTTGAGTTTGTTTTTAATGTTTGAGTTGGTGTTGTTGTTGTTGAGGGGATGGTTTTAAAGGGGTGGGAGTGAGACGAGGGATGATCAGTAGGAGGCTCAGACACAAGCTCAAGGCCTTGCATTTCTGACCATTTCCATTGTTCAATCGCCTTTATCTCCAGCGACTCTTGTGACATTTGCAAAAATTCTCTCTTGCTAGCTACTTGGCTTTATTGAACAAACCAACCCACCTCCTTCTCTCCTCTTTATTATCTCACTCTATCTGGCTTTTGTGCTTATGTTCTTTTTTATTTTCCCTTTCTCTTCTTTTTCTAATCCCTTTCTTTGTTGGGTCTTTTTCTTTTCTTTTACCCTCTACTCTAAAGTCCCATGTTTCTTACTTGATACTTACTGTTCCTTTCTCTCTTCTTATTCTCCAATCTTATCACCAAATACGGACAGATATTACTATTAGCGTAAGAATTAATTTTGAAATCTTGTTTTTTTTAGTCTTGTTTTAATGATTTGGTTGTCTTTTTGATCTTCAAAAGTATTCTTAACCATTATAAATATATATATATATGTCTGACTTTAATTCTCTAATTCAATTAAAAATAGTTTATCCATGATGAGAATAAGAGATTCAAAAACTAATCTAAGAATCCTAATTAGAAGAGATTAAGAAAAATCAAATATATTGTTATCGTATTAATCGTTCGATTTATTTAGTTTGTAACAATATTTAGTTGATTATTTCCTTGACATGGAATGAGAAAATTAAGAAAATACTAGAAAACTAATAAAAATAAAATATTTTTTCAGTCTCCCTTTGACAATACTCTTTTATATTATATTATATTACCTAGTAATTATAAAGCAAACAGCATGATATTGCTTTAGTTTTACTTTTAATGTAAAAAACATACAGAAAGTGACAGATGGTGAGAGGAATTTTGCACCCGACAATGAACACTGTGTGCGAAAGTTGGAGATGGATTTTTTGACTACACCATATATTATTCATTTTCGTAGTGGAAAACCAATAGGAGTCTGTCCACTCTAAATTACATTTTATATATATATATATATATAAAATTAGTACTCTCCAATCTCCATTAGTTTTTTTTTTTTAATTATTGCTATTATCTTTGTCTGTTAGTATTTAATCAAAAGAACCGATTGTTCAATTCTTTAATTTTGGCTTCTTCTGTAAGTTAGACTGTAAAGCGTGAAAGAAACAGAAATTTTTTTATGTCCATACATTACCTCCCTCGCCTATCTGTCTGCCTGTTGCCTTTAAATCCGGCCTTCTTTCCTGCAAACTGCAGAAATCTATCAGACGTTAACTTCAACTAATTAACCTAACTATTATAACAGAGTTTATTGCACATTATAGTTGACAATTAAAAAATCCAAAGCTTGTTCCATCTTTTGCATTCTCTCTAATTATTTTATCTTTTTGATATAGTTATTTGTATCTATTCACAGCTTGTTTTTTTATAAAAAAAAAAAAAAAAAATCATGTCCGAATGAATTGTTAATAGATTTCATAAGAAATTCCTTATGCAATTTTAACGCTCACAAATATCTAAATCATTGGCAACTAAAACTAAAAGATGCATTTACAAATAAAAATAATCAATTCTAAACAAATTTGATAGTGAGATTCGAATTTGAAAATTATGGTGAATGATTCTTAAATTAGACCTTAAGAACCATTAGGAACTTGAAAATTATGCTTTTTTTTTAAAAAAAAAAAACCAATCATTCATTAGTTTATCATTTTTTATATCATTTGGTATGAAATTTCAATATGAAAAGTTTTTTTCAAAAGTAGTTTCCTTTGGTGTTTTCGGTAACAAATCATTTTCCTTAAATACATTTACTCTGGAAGGAAATGCATGTTTAATTAACGTTAATTCTACAGGTGCAAGTATTTATGCTATCCTGCGAAAGTTGGTAAAAAGCGACGACGTAAACTCTAGCCAAATTTGTCTAAAAAGCCGCGACATTTTCGGCTTCTGCTAAAATAAAGCTCTCTAGCTAGCTTGCTAGCTAGGTTTTTTTTCGTCCTCGAGCAGTAAAGCCTCCAACATTCTGGTTGAAAATTCAAATAAAATCCCAACGTTAGTATTCCATGATCGTGTCAGTCAGATCCAACAATTTCCAACCGTCCTTGTCCTGGGAAAACTTCAAACTTAACATAAGATGTTAGATAGCACACCTTAAATAGTATTTAAAAAATATATTGCACTTTTACAGAACTGAAAACACTTCAAGAAATAAGAATTCGTCAGGAAATCTTGGACAAATCTTGGGATTCTGTAAATTTAATTTAATTATCATTTTCTTTTTTATCGTGAAGATGACAGCAAATCACCCATATGCAACCATTTTCTTCTCTACATTGAGATGCTTTGAATTTTCTTCTGGGTCATAGTACTGTTCCACACTGTCAAAGTTGAGCTAAAATAAGCCTGTTTTCAGAGACAGGGTGAGTTGTTGCTCTAATCATGCCTGTGTAGTTTTTTGTAACTCAGTGACTCAGCTCTTTTTTTTCTCCAGGCTTAGAATACAATAAAGGAAGACTGACATATCTGACACTATGAATTCCTTTAAGTGGCAAGACAATTTTTTTCGTTTTCGTATTCCTTTTCAGTGGGATTGTGCAGAAGAAATGTGAAATTTAGAGTTTATTTATGAATTACGAAAGGGAAATGTTAAGAGAAAGAGAGAAAGTTGTTTGATATCTTTCTCTCCTTTCACGCATACTGTACTTTGTTTTTTTCCTCCGCGTAGACATCTTTGGGTCTCTCTCCTTTGCCCTCCACCAACGGGCAATTGTCTACTGCTGTTACGCCGTGCAAAGTACTTGCTTTTTGTCGAAAAAACGTTTCCGGTTTATATTTATTTCGCAACTATCCTTACGCATCAAATTACCCACCGTATCAATTAATTGAAAACTTGTTATTGTTGAGGGATAAGATGCTCACGTCTTGTCACCAAGACTTCAACCTTATTTTTTACGGAATAAAATTCTTCATAAATCATTTAATCTTGATGTAAATAGTTTATCTTTAATTGGATAGAAAAATTAACTTTAATTTTATTACATAAAAACTGACCTAAAAATATCATCTAATTATAAAACTTTTTTTTTTTTTTTGCAAATTCTCTTTTCTCGGCATGGATGAATGTGAAAAACATCATGCGTCATCAAACTATAGAAAAAAATACTCACGCTGACGTAATGAAATAAATTTTGAATCACTTACACTAAATTGTGAGATTGTTGAGTATTAAATCTTCTTAATTTAAAAAAAAATTTATTTCACTATTTCTCAAGATTGATTGAAGATAAATTTAAAATTACTTTAATCGACACATTCTAATTCATTTTTTTTAGTTTTTAATACCCTTACTATTTTTAAAATAAATTTAATATTATTTTAGGAGTACTTCCCCGAAAAAATATCTAATTTGATAATTTGTTTTCATAAGGTGATTTTGAAAAATAATTAATTAAAACAGAAAAAAAAAGGAAACTATATATTTTTATGAGTACAATATTAAGTTTAGGTGACAATAAGAGCAACAAAAAAAATGAGTTTTTGAATATTCGATAAATAAACTTGTTTTTCAAATAACAAATGCTAAAAACCTAAGAACTATTTTATAAGTTATTTTTTTATATTATTGATTTTTTTAGAAATGGAAAAACATAAAAGATAAAGAACGAAAGGGTGAAAATTTTAAGAATTAAGGAAAAAAAAAAAAAAGAAGAAGAAGAAAGAAAGAAACAGGGAAAGGAAACAAACAAAAGAGAAATAGGTTTCCGCCTGGGCTATAGGACAGTCGACATAAAAAAAAGGTCCACACTGGACCAATCACTTTAGAAAAAGAAAAAGGAAATATAAGAGAAAAGAAAACGCCAAACATATATATGATGCATCATGCAACCTCCTGGGCTTTTTCTTTGAACGTCAAAATAGTTTTTTTTTTTTTTTTTAGGTGTCCATTCACTCGTAATGCAGAATACGAAGAAGCATTGGATTGACATTGTTGATACAGGCGCACGGTCCTTGCTTTGCATAATTTAATATTACCATTAAATCATCTGTTTTTGTACAAATCATTGGTGCCTGCTTCTATAATTTAAAATCAGCTATTGGTTTGATGATTATCTTTTTACGTTTTTTTTTTTCGAATAACAATACCATAATTCTTCTTCTTCTTCTTTCAACCACATCTTTATAAAAAGAAATGTGATTTATTGAATGTTATGGGAGAGAGAAAACAATAGGTGACTAGGGGGGAATGATGACACAGAATAGAGAGTGTAGTCAGGTGAGACATTCCATTTAAAGAAGCTGCAATCCCATCAGTGTGACGAAACATAGTGAAATAATTTTCAACTACTGTCTTACAGAGGATGCAGAACTGAGTTAATTTTTGGGTGTGGATCCAAACTGACGCTGTCTTGTTTTGTGCTTACAGCTGACTGAGCTCATCTATATATCACCTATTCATCCAAAACTAAGCCCTTCTCTTTCAGTAGGACACTTTCCCATAAATGATCTCAACCATCCGATCATTTTCCTAGTCCTGAACAATTATATATAGCGGGCTAGTCCAAAATCAACCAGATTTTTTGCTTTTAAACTACCAGTCAACACCCCAACTAGATCGAACAAGCTCGGGATGGATAAGGAGACCCTACAAGAAGATATATATATATATATATATATCAATTAGGTCCTGCTACTGTTTGGAGTACTATTTAATTAGTCCTTTGGTCCATGGCCACTAGTATTTTGCATTTCGTTTTCTTCAAAATGATGTTGCTTTGTTGCATAAAGTACGCACATTGAATGGAAAATGTTAACAAAAATGTATAAAAGGACTTGATTGAGAATTATTTGAAACATTAGGATTTCAATTGATATTTATTACTTTGGTATGCCATTGAAAATTAAGTAATAGATCAGGTACAAAATTTAGAGTTTAAACGTCTTTATACCTTTTAATCGGATTGAATAATTGATAATAGCTTTACTGATCGATGAATCCAATCTTGACCATTCGACTCCTAACTAGCCAAGATAGCTCATAGGATATACAAATGATTAAGATTTGCCTTACCGATATAACAAATATTGGATTCAAGTCATTTTTTACTATCAAAAGTTTTAGATAG